CTCTCCCCTTCTCTTCTTGTGATGGGTAGGAGGGGAGGCGGCGGGAAATAGGAAAGGAGGTACTTGCTTAACAATGGCAACAGGGACTGCAGGGATTTCTGTCACTAAGCAATACAATCACATGACATCAAGCTTTACGACTGCATTGCTTAGCGACGGAAATTCTGGTCACAATTGCTGTCATAACAAGGACTGCTGGTACTGTGCAGAAACAACACATAAGGCAACCATAATCTATAAATAAATTCTACTACAATTTAAAACACAACACACTGAAAACATGATTTGAATTAATGCTGTACTGATTTTTTTTTAATCTTCAGATTTCATTGTTGCCATTTTGGAGAATTATGAAATCACATTTCTCATTCACACATTAAGGAGGATGATGATAATAATGGTGCTGGTGGCGGCGGCGGTGCTTTTATATCTATTCTCATGTGTTTCTCTAAATTAGCTTTCCTCAATTTGATGTCCTGTCCTTCAGATGCATTGGGAATGCAACTTCCATGCTGGCTTAGAAATGCTAGGAGTTCCAATTGTAAAGTTCCAATACATCTGAAAGCATCAGGTTGGGAAAAGTTTCTCTGCATTACTGCAATCAGGAGGGAAAGAAAGAAGAATCTCAAATATTCTGTCAAACAGGACAAGTGCTTTGTTTTCCTATATAGTAAGAGTCTTGATCTAGATGTAGCTGCACATAATGTAATTTAGATAGAATACTGATGTGCCCCCTAGGCAGTGGAGATGCAGGATATTTCTTTTTGGATACTATTTGTAGTATTTTATTTGCAATGGGGTGCACATTTTTAACAGCATTCTGCAGCAACTAGTTAGTTAGGGGGATCTGCAGGGTGGAGGACAACAGCATCCAAATGGCAGGCATGACTAAGGTGATCAAAACACTGCCCCTTTTTATTTATTTTATTTTAACAGGTATTTAAGAATTAAAGGAATAAAAACATAATAGAAAAAAGATTTACATTCTATATAAAACTGAATAAGAATTTTCAAAGTAACATTAGATTAGTAGTGCATATAAATGTGTTCTTATATCTATCCGGCACTTTGAAACCATTGTCAAAATCAAATCAATAATTAACAAAAGCAGACAATATATTAAGAATGATCAATCAGAATAAACTATTATTAGGAGTTTCTATCAAATCTGAGAAAGCCTGTCCTTACTATCACAAATCTGGCAAAATCTAGTATTTTATAGTTGTGTTAAGCCTTATGTAAGACGATGTGGTACAAGTCCATGTGCAGAATTATCATCCAAAAATGGTATTCACATCAAATTAAATTCAGTATCAAAGTTGTTTTTTAAATATGAAGTTGTTTTTGACATTGATGCGTATTCCCATAGCTTAGCCTATCATTCTTTTAAGGAAGGAATTATGTATAATATCGAGGAAGCATAAACAATCCTAGCAACTATTATCATGTACAGAGCCAACTGAAGATCAGCATAGTTAATGGAATATAAGGTTAAGTAATTCTTAAGAGAAAAACAGTTGGTGAGAAGAAAAATACAAAATTTAAAGTTTATTTCATTCTATGGAGGAATCATCTTCCAGAATTGTTGAACTTTATGGTATTGCCACCGAGTATGAAAAAAAAGTTCCAATATGTTAATTCATATTTAAAAACTTCTGGAAATATAATAACCTATTTTGGCAGTCAACACTGAGGTAATATAGCAATGAAAACACATATAGTACTAATTTTCTTTGAGTTTAATATTCATAGTCAATATCTTCCATTGGTATTCCAATTGTTGCATATCAATTGTTCTGCATCCATTTAATTGAACAGTCTTTGACTTGTTCAGTTTCTGAATCATATTTCAGTAATGACCTATGTATAAACACCAACAGGTATTCTCAATTTTGTGTTATAAGCTTTTCAAATTCAGTCTGAGTGTTCACCTTGTTTTTGAACTATACTACAGTGGTACCTCAGGTTATGAACGCCTCTACTAACGAACATTTCGGGTTACGACCAGCT